CAACAAGGCGCAATGTCGTAGACCGCTGTTGCGCACGCTAGGACCTGGCGCACGTGACCAACAAACTCTGGTGATCCGAATTCATCATGAGCGTGGATTATGCCCCGGTGATTTAACTCCTAGATGCTCAGCACTGAAGGCCCAAAGAACACACGGGAATGAAGAACAGATAGTCTGTCAGTCGATCAGACAAAATACATCGCTAGCAATCTCCAAATTCCACATTATTTCACCTACCCAGTGAAAGCACTTTGAATACCACTCATGTTATTCGCCAATATTTTTTCTTGAATGATGAACCGGAACTGAAATGGTGATATAGAACAACATCATTAACGAAAAAATCCCGGTGTTAAGCAATCTGCTGGGCTCGCCGAACACCCATACTCGGTTAGAATTAAGCGATTCCAATGGCTCACATAAGTTAGCATACATCAGGAACATTCTTTCACACGGAAATAACAATCCGATTAGAGCCTAGAGATTGACTGAGTCAATGAATGCTGTAAATCATCTTCTTGGTTTACCAGCCCACTTCCAATGATTGTTTTATTCCATAGAATCGACCAAACTGCAGATCAGGTCAGTTTGCCTAGAGTCCACAGTACATACCACATTTCAGCCTATTTTAAGTAATCAACATTGACCAAGTGAAGTCAGACAGCCGAACTAATGTTCATACTTAATGCCGGGTTCATGTAGTGATCAGAATAGTCACGAATCAAAGTCACGAATGAAGATCGGAATCGCACTGGCAATCGCAGGCTAGAATCTCCCATCACTAAGACACAGGGAAAAGGCCACAGAAGTAGCGGTTCCTTTATTGAGAGAAATCAACAGGATTAAATAAGATGTAAATAGAAATATTATTGGTCCAACGGGCATCAACTGTAAGATCACTGATTGATCGAAACCACTGGTCAGTGGTTCCACGTCCAGAAAGGCTGGAATGCGCAACTGCTTTGTTGGCGTCTTCTTGGAAGGTTGACTCACCACAGTTCACCGTGATACTGCCAGTTCGAAATTGCAATCAAAGTAGCCGGGGATGATTACGGCAAATCCTTTTAGTGCTATGGAATTTGAACCCGGGAAATCAGAGCAATGATTAGCCTCCATGATAGATATTCTTCTAATATAAGCAAGAAATTCTGCTGTTACTACTAATTTGTGAAAAGAACAAAAACAGTTTTATATGGCATTCTCTTCTCCCTGTTCCCTTGTAATAGTTGAAGCTGATGCTGAGTGTTGCCAGTAAACAATACCAAACACTGGTTCGTCGCCTAAAACGAGATGGTACCTTGTGGGAAGATCCGGATTTCCCGGCCACGGAAGCTTCCATCAACATTCCCGAAATGAAGGGTAAATTGGAATGGAAACGACCAAAGGTAAGAAAAAAGTTGCCATTAGTCGGAGTGATAGACGGTTAATCGCCCTCATTTTTAGCTGGACCGGTCGGTTAATAATTACGTGATATGCAGGTGTTGATTGAACTCATGCAATATGATCCTTTAAAGTAGAAATATATTTCAGGTTCCACCATCATCATTCCATATCGATAGACATTAGTGCCTAGCATTTGGTCCAAGCGTTATCTCCCAGTGCAGTGACGTGACCTTGAGTGGTACAATAAAATTTGTACTAGTTTAAAATTCACAGCTTTAAGTTAGAAAATGTTTGGTGCGGCACAGCATGGAAGTCCATTCTTTCTAATCAATGATACTGCTATTTCAGGGGGATGGTTATCTTGGTCAATCGTCCTATTTTAATTTGCTTATCCTTTTCCGTGAGATGCACAGCAACTATACAAAAAATGGTAACTTTATCTTCAATAAATTGCAAAATTTCTCGCCACGAAAGGAATAAAAATATACTCTACGAAACGTAAATATTGCCCCCTAAAAATCGACCTTGAGGTGTGCGGCTCGTTGAATAAGCGTTTTGTGATGTTGCTGTGTCCAAACCGAATTAAATATCCGTGATTTCCGGTACACAAGTAAACGTATGAAGGGGGCGCAAACATCCAGGCACCATAGTCCCTGACCTGTGCAATTGCTGTGATATAAACCTAGGCACAATCTGGTTGCTACTCAAGTGAATTAGTCCAGCAAGGCAACGACGTGGAGGAAGAAATCTAACCACATCAAAGCGTTACATTTGGTTGCAAATGATAAAAGGAGCATGGAGCCAATATCAGGGGTTGTCCGGGAGAATAATCCACCATTTTCGGATGCCATCGTTAGTAACAAAATGACTCAATTTTTTGTACAGCTGAGAGCAGTGAATTTAAAGCCGTTATTGAACGCCCAGCAAGGAAGAGCATGTATTGATTTTGCCAATAGATTGAAAAGAATTGGTTGTGACGAAACCCTTTTATCGTCATTGTTGATGCACGGTTTGTCCCTTGTTATTGCTGTACGTCAGTAAAGCAGAGGCTTAGCAACGTTTCAAGCTTAAAGTTCTGATAAGAATCATTTAGATACTCCTGTGGACAATAGAATTGGATGAACCAAATATAATACTTTGTAAATGATTGAACCATTCGCACTAGGCGATGACCTTCAGGTCCTTATTTCTTGGGGTATGGTTTTGACTCCGAACCCAAAGGTTCACGATTCGAGTCCTGACAGAGATACATAAGGTGAGCACCAGAATGAGAGCCGTTCAGTGCTTCTTATCGGTTATCACAGTTATTTTCATTGCATTTAGATGACTCAGATACGAAATTATCAGATCAAAGATCTGCCAATACTTATGTTTGTCTACATCTTCTTCAACAAACCTTACGGATTATTGATACATTTATGTTTTAAATGATTTACACCGTGAACAGGGAATCAATCAACATTCAGTTCCATTGGAGCCATGAACTCGTTCATAAAACATGCTATTTTACGCCTGAATTACACTACATTGTATCGAATTGTTCGGGATACAAACAGGCCGTGGTGGCCCGGTGGTACCATCACCAAATTATCACCCCGGAGGACTTATATTTCAATCCCACCACCACTACCTGACTTCCACCGTTGTGTGTGCTGAATGGCAGATCCGTTTGATTGGCCACTTCTCCTTTCCGGAAATTGTATCTTTGTAATGGAAATGTTTGTGATAATCGACAAAGGGCACTGGACAGCTGTTTCGTCCTGTTTGGAACTCGTCAGGAGTGCGTAATTTTGGTATCCCTGTCAGGACTCGAATCGAACCCTTGGGTTGGGAGTCGAAACCCTTCCGTCAAGAGTGCCTGGTACCTCTGAGCAATCGAGTGGGCTAATCCACACCTGACACTCTGTATCTTTGTGTATTTAATAAAATGAAGTAGAAATGAATAGAATAAAAAGAAAAGTAATCCTATACCACGAATGAAATGTCAGGTTGGTTGCCACAGTCACACTCTCTCATCCACCCATCTCCTCCCCCTCCACCCCCCCCCCACGCTCTTTGGTCAGGAAATCAATCCGAAAGCCGATTTCTTTGTTGGCGGAGCTAGCCGATTTGACATTGAACAAGGCTCAGTCGGTACGTAATTTGTACTTTTTTTGTGTATACTTTCCCCTCAATCAAATTATTTTGTTCCCTCGAGGCTTAGTCGTGCATCCTGTTTGCACTCTCACATTATTTATAAAGTTTTGTGAGCGGTTTTGTCACCTAGTCTGTCAGACAATGCAACCTTAAACACAACCGCACCGTTTGTTGGCATGGAACTTTAATACAACTTTGTTACTGTACGTAGTCTTGGATCTGTTTGCTAATCGAAAACATAAGTAACATTTACACCTCAGTTAGATAAACTGTCCGATTCTCTATATTGGTTTGTTGGTCTTGGTGTGTTCTCCGAACTAGAAGTGTTGTTCTCCGGCGTTTCGTATCCAGGTTAGCTAGGCAACATCATCAGTGCAAGTTCGGGGAAGCGCCAGTTCTTAGTGTGCTCGGGCTTATATAATTCAACGGTTTCGAAGGGCTGTTTACGTACCTTTTGTCCTCTGTGATGTTGTCATACTGGGGCTTGGCGGTTCCACGAAGTCGCACTGATGTTGTTGCTTTGCTAACCTGGATAAGAAACGTCGGCGAACGACACTTTCAGCTCGGAGAACACACCAAGACCATCACCCGCACCCCGAGTTACAATCATTCCACAGTATATCGGTTTATTCAAAAGTCGGACACCTGTTTACAAACTGTTTTTCTGATCAAAACGAATCATTCTATCATTTCTTATAGGTGATTGTTGGCTCCTAGCCGTGGTCTCCACAATTTCCAGTTATCCGCCCCTCTTCAATCAAGTGGTTCCAACTGACCAAAGTATCCAAAGTGCAGACTATTGTGGTGTGTTCCGTTTCCGATTCTGGCGTTTTGGTCAGTGGATTGAAGTGCTCGTGGATGATCGATTACCGGTGTATCGTGGCACCAAACGGTTGGCGTTCATGCACTCTTCTGATGATAACGAGTTTTGGTCAGCTTTGATGGAAAAAGCCTATGCGAAGTGAGTATGAAATCGAGATGACCAGTAGAAATTGGGCTGAAGAAAAACAATTCCTGGGAAATATTTTGTCACAAATTCTACTTTTGTGGAAGATTCCCATAAGAATATCAGAGGGAAAACTAGTTAGCGAACAAGCTTGTTTCTGTAACTTCGTCTTTGGGCACTTACAGTTAAGTGCGTTGATAAATAATGTAGAAATAAACGTGATTATTTCATTGAGAAAATTGGGAAATAACAACTTTCTACGTTAGGTTCTTCAGGAGAGAGAGAGGGAGGACCAAAGTAAATTTTGGAAATTTCCGATGACTTTTTATTCACGCGCGATGTGTCACGCCATGTTGCTTCTTCACGACTATATTTTGAAGTCATGATTCGGTTCTTTCCGTAGGGATTGGAGTAGAGCCAGGGTAACCGGAGTGCAACAACCGTTTTTTTCTTTCTGGATAGTGGTGGGTTCCAGATTCCGATTGCGACTGCTTGTGCCGTTGCCAATGGACGTTTTTGAACGTACTGCGTATTGCGGGGCACATTGTACATGACTTGAAATGCATCGCGGTCAATCTGGTACTCGGTATCGTCCAGGTGGGCCACAATCACACTGGTTGTTGTTATTGTTTGCATTCCGTGCTTAGCCATACCGGTTTGTGTTCTCTGATCCTTTGTGAAAACTATCTTATCGTTCATCCTACATAACATGCTGAACATGTGCAAGTTAAGGAAAGATTGGGAGAGAATTTGGCAATTTATCCTTGATGTTAGCGCAGAGTTTGTGGCCGGCTTTTCAACGTCGCACCTCTAATGCCATCCGGGTACGTCCGTGTGGTTGTTTTTTCAAAAAGTTTTCTCGAATATACGCATATAAACATATATAACCGTTACGAAAACAAGTTTGTTTGCTATATTGTTTATCTTTTGAATTTTAACTTTCATTCATCGTCCTACTGTGGGGATACTCCAGTTGAGAATGATTATGAACTTTCTTCATCAATGTTTTTTCTTCCCTGGTTGGTTTTGCCACATTATTGAACTTTTGGAAATCATGGAGTGATGATCACGTGATTGAATCAGGAGATCTGAATGATGTTCGGATACATTGGGGAACACTGTGGTTTTGAATTGGGGCATTTGAAGTTGGAGGGTACTCCGAGCTGCAGTTGTTTGTTTCCTAACCCCGTTTGATTACAGACAAGGCCCGGGACCAAATAGATTATGTTGCCTAGCATGACTAGGAAATTTCTGCAAACGACCTTGGCACATCTCACAATCCTATACAACTAAACTAAAATGCAAATTCATTGAAGACTACATTATCTGTTATCTCCTAGAACCCGGAACTCGATGTGACATTTTATCCTCTTGCTTACCGGGAAAAGATTCAACTGTGTGAATATCCTATGAGGACAAGAGAATCATGGGTGTGAAAGTAATTTCCAAGGTCAGACTTTGACCTTGACATGTTTAGTTCAGATAACACTCTAGCAACAAAATCGGAAGGATTTCGGAGAGTTCTATTGAATTAAGGACCTGATTGTTAAATGATGAATGTTTGGATTAACCCATTCGGTTTTTCATAGGCACCAGGCACTGCTGATGATGTTCGGTGTGGGTTTCACTCTTTGGGAGATCGGTAATTCCCCACTATTTGAATGTATTTTAAATGCGGTGGAAACGTTTATGATAACCGGAAAAGGGCACTGGACAGCTGTTTCGTCCTGTTTGGAACTCGTCAGGAGTGCGTACTTTTTATGTCCCTGTCAGGATTCGAATCGCACACCTTTGGGTTGGGAGTTGAAACCCTTCCGTCAAGAGTGCCTGGTACCTCTGAGCAATCGAATGGGTTAATCAAAAATTGATACTCTAAATCGATTGAGCCATTGGCACGAGGTGATGACCGTCGACCGTGTAGCTCAGAGGTAAGGGTTTGGAGTCCCTACCCGAATGTTCGCGGATCCAGTCCTGACAGGGACACCAAAAGTACGCAATGCTGACGAGTCCCAAACAGAACGGAACAGGTGTCCAGTTCTCTTTGTCGATTATCACAAAACTTTCCACCGCATTTAAGGACCAGTAAAATTGAAAAGATAATTAACCGTGAAAACTCGGTGAAGTAAACAAACATTATGATTGGGTGGCTATGCTGTGATATTTTTCATCACGCCAAAGTGAATAACAGATAGAATTATCTACACCGGTCGACATGCAGCTTGGGATAACATTTTTGTCCCATTTCGGATTCGTCTGTGCTGTATGCACCTTTTGGAATCTCCGTCGGGACACGATCCACAAGGCGTAAACGACAATGATACATAAATCCTGACTGATCTTCATGAAGATCCGTAGGATATAGGGAAAATATCTAGTGCGAAGACCAATAATTCAATTCGTTTTTTGTTTGTTAGTTCAAATGTACTGAACTCTACAATAATGGGACAGTTTGAATATCTGGCAGCTAACGACCATCTGTGTGAATACCGTCGCATGTCCACATCCGTGGAAAAAAGATTTTAGCATGCTTTAACAAGCACAAGAGAAACAGTTCAGCTGCTTTAAGTGGACACACGTTTATTCCACGATCTACCGACAACTGAACTAGACACGTTATTGTCAAATAGTTCTCCCTTTCCTAAAGCACGTAGGACAAATTGTTTGTTTCCATTTCTCTGAAACACAACTAAAGTAAAATTTATATTATTCAATAGACCAGTAATCGATTGAAGGCTGTCAGATGGCAACCGGAAATTGGGCGATGTATTTTGGGTTCGAACTACGAACTAATAAGTGAACTGGTGAATACAACAAAACACACTAATGTGTTCATCATTCCCCACCCGCTCCCCTCTTACTCTCTGCATTTTGCTATTAGACTGTGCGGATGTTACTATCACTTGTCCGGAGGCACACAAAGTGAGGCCATGGAAGATCTTACCGGTGGTATTTGTGAAACACTCATGCTTACACAGAAAGAGCGACCAAAAGATTTGTTGCAGCAACTGTCTCTGTATAGCAATCGATGTTGTTTGATGGGTTGCTCGGTTGATGTAAGTCATCCTGATATCTATCGTTCGGTGTTGTTTCTTCACATCTCTATTGGATGCTATTATGCGGACCATTTGACTAGATGCTGTTTCTCTCCCTTCCATGTCCCTCACTCACTCCCAATTTATTGGTTATGACAACCAAGCTAGAAAACTTAGGGTTGAACTAATTTGTATCTACTCGTTCTGTTTATTACATGCGAGAAATAACAATCAGAGTTAATCCTATGCTTCTCACTGTTCTAACAGTCGCTTATCTTGATGTGTGTCACACTTCCAGTCCGGTATGTTTTTATTTGTACCCGTTATACAATATGCGAGATTGTAATATCCCCTAGAGCTGTATCTGGTCTTAGTTTGTCACCGGTACTTTAACTATGGCTTACATTTTTTTATAATCTACAACTTTCTTCCAGTGCGCTTGATACAGGATGGAAACCTTGGGGACATCTGATTACCCAAATCATTCAACTACATCATAATGATTATTATGTATACATCTACACATGCATATATATATATATATATATATATATATATAAAC